AAATGTATGAATCATATGGTGAAAAACTGACTTTGAAAAATAAATCTGTTCTTTTTTTCTTATAAAAGGCTAAATAAAACAAAAATATTGGTGGTAATTTTTGACTGTGTAACTTTACAAACAGCACCCCATAAACAGGTGTGTCAGTAATCAGGTCTGGATTTTGTTGATCAACTTTCTAAAACATCACTGTTTCTTTCTAACACAGGCCCAGGTTGGTTTGGACAGGGTTTTATCTTTAATAAATAAAATGATCATATAAAAACTGCATGTTACATATACTCAGGTTCTCTTTGTTTTCTGATCAGAAACATTAAAGTGCCTGTGACATGCATGTCATTTGAATATAAAAAAATCAAAGAAAACATCTTTATATTTAAGAAACTTGAATAACACACATAATTTTACCCATTTTGTCACATAACCTGCATATTTTCTTTTAGCATGGTTAAGCCAAAGTGAAACAGGAAGTGACAACAAAGGGGAACTCCTTCAGAAAGGGAACTTTCTGAACTTTGGTTTTTGTTTCTTTGAAACTATTATTTGAACTTTGACTCTTCATCTCTCTGATAGTGACTCAAAACAATCTAAAGAAAAATCAGATTCGTCTCCACAGTCTGGGTTAATAGCAGTTGTGGCAAAGCTCTGTTCACATTCAAACATTCCCCTTTGACATCACTTCCTGTTACTTCACATGCAAATATCTCAACTACGTTTCATCTCAGCAGCATGATTTTTTTGCAATGTGTTATCAATGTTATCTTTCTGAAAATTCATTAATATCATAACGATATGATGTCACAGGCACTTTAAAGTGTGACTAAAAAGGCAGAAGCAGTCTGTAAAGGACTATGTTCGTGTTTAGTACTTGTGTCATGTGACTGTCTGCAGGTGGGAAACTCCCAGTACTACAACTACACTCTGTCTGTCAACGGGAAAGCAGAACAACACAGTGACAGTTATGAGAAGGACTACCTGACAGACCTGGTTGTAAGTCCAGATCACACACTGACAATGTGACTTCTGCTTCACTCAGCTTGTGATCAGCATCACCACAGTCACTCAAACACTTACGTAAGATTTACGGTTGAAGGAACTCTTACAACATCAAAGTTGTAGGGATCAGCTGGAAACACAAAGTTACATGTAAAAAAAGTTTTTCTTTTATTAGTCAGGTTGTTGAAGTTTAACACTTAAAGAAACATGCTCATGTAGGTCATTAAAGACTTCCCGTGAGCAGTTTTTGGGAAAGTTGTTTTTCATGAAGTGGTAACATTTCATGCAGCTACATGTCTTCTTCCTGATCAGCTGACTGCTCCATATGGACTTTAATGAACTTAAACTCTAATGTGAAGTGACAGTGAACAGCAGTAATGTCACTTTTCCAGTATTGTCAGGAAGTCTTAAAGAAATCCCAGCAAAATGAAACTAATAAGTCTTTTTCTTTAACTACTCTGGTAAAAGACTGCACCCCGCACCGGCATTTACTTTTTATCCAATCATGGAGAAAGGAAAGTACAGCATGTTTAAAGGGATCCCTGATTAATTGTAACATTAGACTTTATTTAATAAACATATATTCTAACTGTAAAACAAAGACTGTAAAAACACTGTTGGATGTTCAGTTTTTATCATTTTTAAACTAAAAGTTTAAAAATATGTTACACGGATGGGGTCATTTTATTTACACACAAAGCATTCTGGGTAAATGATGACGTGGATAGGTCCTCAGTGTGAGGCTGCTAGCGAGCTATATCCACCCTGAAGGTTAATCTTGGACAATATCTGATGATCGACTCTTTTAAATGAAACCAGAGAGTGTTGACAGAGAGGAGAAGGTAGAAACGGCTGTGTCCAAAACGGCAGGACGGGTCCTCCGAAGGTCGAATTTGTCGGCTGCATACGTCACAGC